CTGTATTTCCAGTTCCTATCTGTACCCGTGCACCACCTCCAGGGAGGAATATGTAGACCTTGTCATCTGTTCCCCCTTTCTCCCTCACCTGCCCTCCACCCTCCCACTGTCACCACTCTCTCTACTGGTCCTGGGGGGTTCTTCTGTCCTGGGTTCACTGTAATTCTAGTTCCTATCTGTGCCAGTGTACATCCTCCAGTCCAATCAGATATGTAAGACAGAATTGGGATCATGGTAGTGGGGCGGGGAGCATTTAAGAACTAGAGGAAAATTGCATAGTTCATCGTTACTACACTGCACTCTGACTTGCTCCTCTCCTCCCCGCAGCCCTTCTGCAAGGGGATGGCCAGTTTCAGAGCTCGGGTTTTAATTAACGGGTTTATTAGAGTTAACGGCCTGCCTGGGTGTTCAGATTGGAATGAGAGTCAAGGGGGCAGGGTGAGGGGAGATTGGAAGACAGTGGAGAGAGGATAGCAGAAAGTTAGAAAGGGGGAGCTAGAGAGAGGAAGAGACAGAGGCACTGACGTGTGGTCACAGGAGAAGGTGAACAAAGTCAGAGAGAGCACGAACAAAGGAATCCCGTGTTCATAAACTTTTGGGGACAAATAAATGAATATGTCTGAAAGGAACCTATGACACCCCCCCGCCACCAGTTGGCTGTGGCACCCACAGAACAGTAAAGAGAGGGGGGAAGGTTTCTGTGAGAAGCCTTGAGAGGTGAGGTGTCACATGATACTAGGTGGGATGGAGAAGGGGTTAGAGATGCTGGGTATGGCTGAGAGCCGTAGTGTCACCTCTGGACCCTTTATTTACCTAGAGCCTAGTGAAGTTGTGCTTGCACACTGAGCTGTTAACCACAGGTCAGAGATTCAAACCCCCCAGCTGCTCTGGGAAGAAAGATGAGGCTGTCTGCTCCTGTAAAGTTTTAAAGACCAAGAAACCCGAAGAGGCATTCTACTCTGCCCTATAGCGTCATCATAAATGAGAGTCGACTCAAGGGCAGTGCGTTTGGGTTTGTTTCTTTACCTAGTTCTTTTTTTTTTTTAATCATTTTATTAGGGGCTCATACAACTCTTATCACAATCCATATATACATCAATTGTGTGAAGCACATTTGTACATTCTTTTTTTTTAATCTTACAGCTTTTTTTTTTTCCACTGAAAGTAGGTGGACAAAGAATACAGTCCACAGCGGACAGTAGCATGGTCTCCTGATTGTTGTTTTTGTTAAATGACTGCTTGCTGTACATGGATCTAATTGTATTCAATCACTGTTCACGCAGGCACCAACATGAAACAGGGCTCTTCTGTTTCTTTGTCTCCTCCAATTGCTTTCCAGGCCTGCTTCCCCAACAGTGTGCATAGATTCCCTTCTGTAGGAGCCCTGAGAGTGGAATGGTTACGGGCTGGGCTGAGATCTGCAAGGCCCAGCAGTTCAAAAACCACCAGCAGCTCCGTGGGCAAAAGACAGGCCTTTCTCCTCCTGTAAAGAGTTACGGTCTTGGAAACTCACAGGGGAAGCGCTAGCCCATCTTAGAGAGTCACGAGGAGTCCTCATGGACTCGGTGGCAGTGAGTTTGGTTTGGTTACTCTGTGTCAGGTCACTTTTCTGCCTTACGATGGTCATGAGACAGCAACTGACGCTCAGAAGGATGCTACAGAAAGTAACATAAGAGGCTCTGGAAAGTCAGCCAGTGGTAGAAGGTCCACAATTAGCAGGATCAAAAACTTGGTTCTTCTTCCCACAGCAAAAAACGTCCATGGTTCTAACCCAGCAACCACTCAGTACAAGAAAGATGTCTGCTTCCCTGAAGACGTACGGCTCTGGAAGCTCCCTGGGCCATCCTGCTGCTTCCAGCAGGGTCACTACTAGTCAGAGCTGACTCGAGGGTGGTGGCTCTCAATGTATACTTTATTTTAATGCCACATAAGTCACTGTTTTAACTATTCTAAAGTGTACAAGCCAGTGGCTTTCAGTGCACTCCAGCATTGTGCAGCCTCCCTCCTTGCCTAAACCCAGAGCATTCTCACTCCCCGAAAGAAGCCTAGTACTCAATAGGCAGTCACTCCGTGCTGCTCACTCCCTCTTTCCAGCCCCTTTCTGTGCTGGAGATTCCGGACAGGAGGACTCACACAACACAGAGCCTGTTCTGTCTGGTTTCCGGGCTCACCCATGCTGTAGCATGTGGCAGTACTTCCCTCCTTCTGGCGGCTGAGTAACATTGCACCGCCCGGACAGACCACAAGTCCTTTATTCTTCCAGCCGTGGATGGACGTTCAGGTTGACCCACTTTGGGGTCAGTGGGAATAATACTGCCATGAACCATCTGTGCATGTGTTTCACTCCTTCTGGGTGTGCTCCTAGGAGTGGAGCGGCTGGTCAGATAGCGAGTCTAGGTCTGATTTCATAAGGAGCTGCCCACCCGTGTCCCACAGCAGCCTTTTACATTCCTCCTCACCGCACATCCTCTCTGCATTTTTCACTTCCTCTCCTTCCTTCCTTTGACTTTCTGTCTTGTTTCATTTTTCTACTTTCCATTCCTCACCTTCATCTCCTTCCTGTCGCTCTCTCTTTTATTGTAAGCCATCCTGGCGGGGAGAAGTTGTCAGTCTTTCACCAGGAAGTGTGTGTGTCAGCTGTGTGGTGCTCATTGACAGGCCTGATCTATTGAAGGAGTCTCTTTTCTTTCTTTGTAAATCACTTTATTGGAGGCTCGTACAGCTCATATCACAATCCATCCATCCATTGTGTCAGGCACATGTGTACATTTGTTGCCATCATCATTCTCAAAACATTTGATTTCTACTTGAGCCCTTGGTATCAGCTCCTCATTTTTCCCCTCCCTCCCCGCCCCCCTCTCCCTCATGAACCCTTGATAATTTATAAATTATTATTTTGTCATATCTTACACTGTCCGATGACTCCCTTCACCCACTTTTCTGTTGTCCGTCCCCCAGGGAGGAGTTTGTATGTAGATCCTTGGAATGGGTTCCCCCTTTCCACCCCACCCTCCA